ATTTAAACAAATTGCTGCAGTTGTCGCTCTGTTTTGAATCAACACTGATTCACCTACAGCAGGGTAGAAAACGGCTGCTGCACCGCTCTTTATGGAACATCCGACCCCAGGCTACGCAAATTATTGATATGACACTGGTTATTTACAGGTCATTTTTGTCCTGTCCATGTTTGGTAATTTTCATATTTCTTCACTATTTTGTCAGTTAGCTACTCCTTGCCACATTTTCTTAGGCATATTTTTTATGGCTGGATTATGTGCTTATGCTTTTCCATATTCTTCGAGGAGAACAACATTAATACAACTGCACATGTGCTGTATTGTGGCAGTAAATATTGTGAAAAGCTTTAGTCTAAACACTTAGGCAGGGAGACAACCTAGAGGCTTTATGTATTTTGCATAAGGGACAAACTTAAGTCTGAAACTTAAGATTGTTTATGCAACCGTGCACCAAGCTACATACAGCATACAGACACAGTCTCAATCAGCTGACAGTTTAATGATAATGTGCACTTTTGTTTTTTTGCATATTTTAAGCCGACTATACAAAATTCAAATTACCAGTACGCCTACACATAGCGGGGACACGTCAAGTCTTTAAATCAAGCGTTTGATTTTTTCGCTAAACATTAACTGCGTGGTTCCATTGTGAGACACAGCTGCGAGAATCAACATTGTGAATCACTTTTATGGAATTAAATCAAATACTAGAAGTGTTAGGAGGAAAAAGAAAATCACATTTGTTTCAAATATTGTTTTGAAAACTGAAATCTTTTAAAGGCATGACACTTTTTGAGCCATTGTTGTCTTTGTTTTGGTACCTAATACTAATGCTCATGACCACCAGAGGCACTGACACCTAATAATTGCTGAATATGAGGGATTAAAAATATCTGAGCTTGATTCCTTTTCACTTCTATCACCTCAAGTGTTTCTGGGAAGTCTGACTCCTCCGCTACAGAGTGACAAGCTGAGATGAAGGGAAATAATTGACTCGTTTTGAGGCGGAGAAACAATTTCAAAACATGAAAACCTTTGTCAGTAATGAAGTAAGGAGTGGCAGCTATGATGGCTTTGCCAAAGTGGCAGATTCCATTTCCTTGTCACTCACTGCTGCGTCTTTCAGCAGTGAAGCAGCAGCATTAGAATAACAGCTTGTGCTCAGCAAGGAGGTCAGGGCTAATAGAGGGAGAGAGTCACAAAGGGACATACATCAGACCGCCAATATGTCATCATGCCCCAAGTGCCAAGGCTAGAAAGAATAGTGCTTTCACATATGTTAACATGATAAACTACAATGAAACTAGAAACAACCGTACTAATAACCAAAGCTTTTGTAGTTGGAAAATGCATTCAGGGATAAGGTTCTGTGAACACGAAGCAAACTGTATTATGTTGTGTTATTCCATGTTTAATTTTACAGGCTTACAGTATGGTATTTTATGTTCATGTATGTTAATTCTCATATATTCACATTCTGGTTGTCTCACCCTAGTTAGGAGAGTTGTTATTCAGTGTGCCATGAGCTAAGCACATTCCAAAGACCAAGGCTGTCTCTGGGAGAGTTGGGGCATCAGAAGTGTTATGACTACTGTTTATCAGACATTAGACGTCACCAATAGACACCCTTGGGAAAGAGGCATATAATAGTGATTCTCTTTGTTCTGGTTAGTTGTATCCTGGGACAACTCGGTTTGCACGTGAAGTGAATCAATCAATTCTCATCGTCATCTGTGAGTCTGTGTCACCATTCTGGGTACCTTTAGTGGGAGTTTGTGGTCTCTCACTATAGTCAAATAGCTAAAAGTTTATGTCAGATAGACATTAATTGAGGTGCAATGGGACAGAAAAATGAAACCACAACATACATTATTTTTTGACTCTGCAGTAAATAGCTAAATGATGCTTCTGACGGTTTCTGCTGATGGATTGCTTAAGTTAGCTTGACCATTGCTAACAGCTAACAGTCAGCACTATTTTTTGTCCCCACAATAACAAAGTCATGACCCACCCTTCTCTGCCTCTGATTGGCTTACCATAACATTCTTACCCTTAAAGCTCATTCACACTGCTCAGGTAGGCAGTGTGAACCAAGGTTTACCCTTACCAGTCTCACTCCTCATGCCTAAATCTAACCAACCAAACCAATGAAGGCAACAAGTATTAGCCAATCAGAGATTTGAGGAGGGCGGGTCATGACTTTGTGATGACTAGTATCCTATTACAGCAGCAGTTATTTATTGTCTATTTTTCTCTAAATTGGACCATAACTTACAAAATGAAGATCATGTTACATGGAAGAAGACTTGAAACCAACAATTGAGACCATAAACTCATTAGGACACTGTTTAAAGAGGTAATAAATCAAGTGAAAAGTACACTGTTCTCCAGAAGATTCCACATTATTGTGCTTTTTTTTGCAGCCAATGGAGCTGTCCCCTGCTGGGTATTACAAAGAATTTACCATTTATATCTTTTCTTTTGGTCGGGGACAGATTATGAAGAGAGAATTAAAAATAAAAATAAGAAGTACAACGGAAGTGCAATTAAGAAAGAAAGTGAAGATGCAGAGGAGATAATCAAGGGAGGAGGAGAGGGAGGGTACGAGTGACTCACTCAGAGAGAAACTGATATCTACAATTTACATTGAAGGCTTTCCTGATTGGCAGATGGAGACGTTCAGAATGAATTTATAGCTGAGAGAAGCAGAGAGAAAAAGAACAGAGATAATCTGATGAATAATTTATGTGAAAAATTGAGAGGTTAACACAGAGGTCAGAAGAGCAAGTTCACAGGAACAGAAGGCTGGAGAACATCTCCTTTGACCTAATTAGAAAAGTAGCGGTGCTGTATCATACAGACATTTTAATTCATTTATGATGAATTACAACTTGAAGAGTTCAGATGACGATGCAGCTATTTTAATGAAAGTTGTTGTTGATTGTCACCCTCTTCGAAACCCCGAAGCAAATCCAATACTTTATTTTGCTTGTTTGCAAAATTAGGAATAATAGCAAAAGACCTACATTCATAAGACAAAAACCAAACTCCTGGGGATCAATACATTCTTATGTGTCTTATATATATCAATCTTATATGTGCAGGGGAGGAAGGGAGCCATGAGGCCTCCCTCTTGGCTTAGATAAAAAAAACAAAAAACACCTTTTAGCCATCAAGACCTTCATCAAGTTCATATTGTATTTGTCTGTATGAATTTTTTGACCCAAAGACAGACTAAACCTGAATAGATCTGAGGGTAATTACTGTAGACCTGACCCAAAATGTGGTTGATCTCAACAGACCCATGTAGAAAGAACATAGCAACAACATGGTGCTCCACCACAAAACAGAACAGTGACTTTGAAACCAGCATTGTTCACATTTATGTTTCTTGCTAGTATCTTTCTCATCCTTGCCTTTGCTGGCGCATTTTACCGTTACCAAGTGTCAGTGGAATAGTGTGAAACTATTGGTGGGACTGTGTATCTGCATCCTCGTACGCCTGCATGACATACCAAAAGAAACGAGGACACTCTCGTAAGAAACATCACTCCATGGCGCTACGTGTGTTCAAAAACTCTACAGGGTCCCTTAAAACAAGCAGCCATAATCAAAGAGAGTATTACATATATTACAGTTTGGACTCAACCTGGGTCCAACATGAAGTTTCAGTTCATAAGAACCGAATGAACCCATGAAGACCTGATATGCCCATAATAATGTCTTATTCAGTACAAAGTGTCACTGGTGAAGTTGCCCTTTAAACTGATAATCAATTACAATAATGAAAAGTGCCCTCTTGGATGCCCCTATGCAGTGTGTGAACTTTACCATGGCTTTCAGGGAGCTCACTTTTTCTCTACTACCAAGAAGAGAAATTAATACTGTGAGTGGGACAAAGAAAGATGTTTCCATTAAAGTGAGGGAAGTTTATGATATTGTGCCGCTACGCTTCAGCGGTGATGGTAAGAATAGAATGCCTGCCGGTATCTTTGGTGAATTAGATCACCCTCATGCATGAGTCATACATCAATAATAGCCTAATTCTAGACATTATCCAAGATTATGAAGGTACAGAAAGATAGAAATGCATGATAAAAAATAGCATATCGTCAGTATTTCACAAATCGTGTTTTCAGGGGAGCTCATGTCTTATGAAGCGAAGCTGAGCTCCCCCTGGCTCCCCTGTAGTTTGCACCGTGCCTCTATGGTAAAACACCTTATGTGTAACATAAAAAATCTAACCTACCAAACTCACACATGAAGACCACTGCTTTGCCCAAAGACAGAACAACAACTAAATCATATTTTTTTTAAATAACGGCACCTTCACCGTCAAAAGTCAACATGTCAGCTTTTGGCCTAAAAGCACAGTAATAGATGCATTACATTATCGATTCATATTACTGAGGTAACTGGGCCTGTTAACATGTATAAAAACAGAGTATATAACCTATTATACTGTATTTATGAGTTCTTGTCCCCTGTATTGAATCTTATTAAAGAGATGACATCGCTCAGAGCTGCTTACTGTCCTGAAAAAATTATCTCACAACCCCTTTGGGGGTCCTGACCACTCCTCCAGGGTGCCCGTCCAGGGAAGAAAACATGATGAAGTACCCTCTAGGGTGCTCATCCTAAACCTGACAAAGATATTTCACCATGAAAGCATCACAACTTTCTGCGGGCTGGTGCCCTTTTCATTTATTTTTCCCACCACTGCAAAATGAAATTAAAACCAACAGGCAAAGACTGGAAGAAACAAACAAAAATAGAAGAAGAAAATAAAGAAAAATACAAATAAAAAATTTACGAAGAAAATATGGAAGGTAAAAATTGTATATTTTAAATTAATATTAGGTTTAATCATGAAGACATGTAGAGAAGTTAATGGCTTTATTTTTGATTTAAGCGATCCGATATTCAATGGTATATTGCAGAAACACTCTGGTCCCATTTTGGCCCTTTTTTTTCACTCCATAAATTATTGCAAGATGCCCAACTGGTGAAGTTGTTTTTATTTCACAAGAAAAAAGGCATTTGTCACAAAGCTAAATAAATGTATACATGAAAAAGAAAGTTTTTTTCACATAAATGACCCAGCTGACCCAACAGTATGTAGTAAAGACGACATTGAAAACAACAAAGCAGCATGTTACAAAATGCAATCCATGTACACTTGGTTCTCAGGCTAGCTTGTTGCACTCTACCTTTGTTTTGATTTTCACAGGGAAAACTGGCCCAGGGGCTCTAATGTCACAAACCGGGTGACAATGAGGGTCACCATGTGTTCTTTTGTAAGTGTAATACTCACAGTCCTTGAGAGGAGACAAGCTGTGAACACAGTCTTCAAAAATCAGAGCAGATAAAAGAGGAGAGGTCGTCGTGGGCAACAGACAGCTCCCGGGAGCCATGGCAACGGCAGACTGGTACAATAGGTTGCTCAGTCACAGAGAGAGGAGAGGAGGGATGAACAGAATAACAGGACGACACGAAAAGGGGGAGGTAGAGATGAAAATAAAGGCAGAGGGAGTCCAGATTAAAGGCAGAGAAACAGCTGTGCTTGTTGCTCCTCCTTTTACCTCATTACTGGTTGTTTTCTCTCCTCCTCTGCTGTTAAAAAAAACCTAGTCTCAATTAGCTTTCGATATGACACCAGGATACATCTGTGACTCAACAACACTGGTTTGAAAACGGTGGATAATTTCCTCCTTTATCCACACGCAGAGCTGAAAGCTGCAGTCCCAGCAGAGTAAGTGGCACCCTTCGCCCACAGAGCTGCACGGGGAATTGAACTCCTGACGCCTTTGCAGCATTTGAACCCTCTTTTAGCTCTTTAGGTAATTAAATCTCTACTTCTAGCAGTGTTAGTGCTGTAAACACGGAGCAGCACAGGATAGATCTCCTGCTTGAAGGCTCTTCAGAGATAGACCAACATATTGGTTGGTTAGACTCCTCCAGTAAGCATCCAGGTCTAGACAGCGGTGCTCCTACCCAGCAGGGGAAAGGCTGTTGGCAGGCCACAGCTGGGCTCCAGTCCCCTCAGTCCATGTACCCCCTGAAGCCCCTGTAACCCTCCTTGGAACCCCTGTATTCCCCCTTGGAGTCCTTGTATCCCTCCTCGAAGTCCTTGTATGCTTCCTTGGAGTCCATGTATGCCTCCTTGGAGTCCTTGTATACCTCCCGGAAGTCCTTGTATGCTTCCTTGGAGTCCTTGTAGCCCTCCTCGGAGCCCAAGTCCATCATGGTGAGTCCTGGGTTCTCGGCGGGGCATGGTAGCCATTGCTGCAGCAGCCTGGATGGAACGGGCCCCCGGCGGGGTGAGGTTGTTGTGGTTCAGGTCCATGTTAGACAGGAGATGACCCAGGGAGTCCCAGCGTTGGGAAGAAGGCAGACGTATGAGGGAGGAGTAAGCTCGCTCGGGGAATACAGCCGTCACGGGAGGCTTGCTGGTCTCAGATGTGAAGACCGGAGCAGGATCCTGGTATTCCCTGGGAGGAGGCGGCTGCGGAGCAGCTCGGAGTGGGGCAGGCTTCAGGTAGGTGCCCCCCCGTGGGTCAGCCAAGACCTCACTGTAGGGCGGAGGAGGATCCTCCATCAGAACTGCCTCCTCATAGCAGGGCGGCTTCCCAAATATATCTGTGTCTAAAAAATAAGAGAAGACTGGGATTAATCACAAATATACCAACATCAAATCAGCCTTGCTGCCAGTTTGTCGTAGAGGCCAGATGCAGTACTGCAACAAAGAAATCCCTTCCAGCCCGAAATCCATTATAAAGAGACACTTGTAGAACTGTTGATAGAACATATCGGACTGTATACTGTCAGTACTCTTTCTGGTATGATTTTTTAAAACCATGAAGGTTTTATATTTGTATAACTCACAGAGTCTAGGGAGATTTGTTACCTACTTTTACTTTATTAAACAAGGACCATGCACAAAAACATGAATCTCAAAATGAGAAGACATGATTTATGCCAGATTTAGCTATAAGCTTATTTCCATCTACAGTCCCTGGGCAGGTACAAACAGAACAACCACCAGACAATGTAAACATTGAGTGTACATGCAACATCATTACACAGTCTCTATCACACTAACAACTATACAGACACACATGGACATATCAATATCAGCAAGATATCAAAACAAAGAAAAGTCGTATAAGTTCATTTTTCCATACACATCACAATGTAATATGCATGGTGTTAGCCACATTATCACACACACACACACACACACACACACACACACACACACACACACACACACACACACACACACACACACACACACATATATAAGGCTAGACAGTAATCTTTAAGATTGAATTTGCTGAGATGTTAAATGCTAATGGCACAATGCTGAATGGAAAAAGTTAATTTAAAAAAAAGAAAAAATATTGAATTTGCTGTCATTTAGGATGGGAAGACTGAGGAAATTTAGGCAAATGTTTTCAGCAAGATGTATGAGAGTTACAGTACAGGGCTGGAAACTTTTTCACCACATTCCCAAAACTCATTAAGGGGAGCACTGACGTCGTTCCACAGCAGCCACACTGACAAGGGCTGCCAGCAAATGTCTGCAGACATTTACTTTTTATCGGCTTCGTGAGTGCAGCATTCAGCCAATGCAGAGATTTAAAAAATGCAAAATAATCAGTCTATAACCAGTTATCATTATACAATCAAGATATATGTATGTGCAACACACTTCAGGTCACAACCCAAACGATTTGAATAAACACAGTCCTGCTGTGATACATGTGACAGTGTGTTCAGCTGTGGGAACAAAACCCATCACAGCACATTTGGTCTGAACTCTCTGTTTCTCTCTTTCTTTCACTAAGTATCGCTCTCTCACACACATTTTATTTTCTCTATCACTCGCTCCTATTTCAGGGACACTGCCTCTGACGACTTCATAATTTCTAATGGAGCAACTGCAATGCAGCACATTGTGTAATAAGATACATGGACACATAAAATACACGTTCGTCATACATTCATTCATTCCTGTTTATTTAAATCAGATAGTAAACGCCTCATTAAGATGCTTTTTAGTGCTCCTCTGTGGTGTACGTGTGATGCAGTTATACCAGGATAAAGACTGTCCATAGCATCAACAACTTTAATCAACCCCATAATCAAATGCATTTTATATGTGAAAGTTACAGTCATGCGACACTAAATGTGTCATTAATGACGCAAAATGATGATGATTCATGAGTGTCTTAAATTTCCATTCACTTCTCACTATAGAGCAAACTACCGAATGTCTATTATATTGGGAGGACTGAATGAGGGAGTGATTTCAAAAACAGTGTTAAATGCAACCAGATTCATCTCTAACAGCCACACAATCTGCACAATTTGTCCATGAAAACTGTGGACACATATTCTAAAAGCTATGTTTGCAATAGGGATGCATCGATTCTGGGCTGGAACCTATGTTTAAAATAACAATATGACTAATAGCCGATGACAAAACCGATGAATTTCTGTTTTTATTTCTTTGCCAGCAACAAAGAAATCCACAAAGATAACCATCTCTGCCTTGCTGCAGCTCATTCTATTTCTCTTCTCATCCAAATGTGAGACGCAGAGCCAAACAGCCGCTCGCTGTCCGTGCTGCTGCATGGAGCACATCTGTATTTGCATGCAATTTGTGCCAGTGCTGGAAAACCGATTATTTCTACAATATCTGAGTTGGAAATAAAAAACACAACATCTAGCCAGCGCAAAATTGATGTGACACAACAGATAAACATCGGAGAATGGCATCTTATTTGCCAATATCAGTCAACGCAGCAAATATCTGATAAAAGTATGTGTCTATATCTTGAGCCAAAACGACCGCTGGCATTAGGACAGGCTTATATTTCAGCTGAAATATGTCGGACAATAATTTTCCTCCAACATTGTTTCCTAGAAAATACTTATATATTACTAAATGTTTTCCTAATTACATTGTGGTGACAAAGGTAATCTTTTCCTGGATTATGTTTATAGGCAAAGGTTTAGACTGAATGATAATTACCACACAAATAGCAAGAGGTTAGTCAGGGTGAATGGTGGGTGTACAGGACACAGCACTGTGAGACCAAACATCCAGACTCTACGTTTAGGTTAAGAACTTTGGTTAAGGTTAGGGAAAGATTCAGGTTAAATGTTAATAAGCATGTGTCTCAAGTCCCTTTTTCTGTAAGACCTCAATCTTTCCCGAACCCTTACCAAGTGCCACGAGTGCCTCAACATAACCATAGAATAGTTTCATAATGCTCTATTCACTACAAGTGGATATTGTATTGCAAGCTCAGATATTTTGTGTTAACGTGACGTGTAGCTGCTGCTGACTGGCTCATTGTAACCGTCTGCTCTATCTGTGATACAGTGCTGATGTTGCTGCTTTATTCAAGATTTAATTGGCTGTATCGGAAAATGATCTCCGTAGACGGATATTGGAATCTATATGAAATATAAATTTCTCCCTTTTGTTTGCAGATTTTACGTTTCCTTCAAAAACATATTTTCTGTTGCAAATTAGTTGTATATAAACACAATTTCTGATTTGCTAATTTCTATTTGAGGAGCTTAATCAGTGAGAAGGTGAACATTTCCCACCGTTCTCTGGAATTTTGGTGAACTTGCATGATTTTCTTCTGCTGATTTCCTTTCCTGTTTATATTTCCGAACAGGAGAGAAGTATGTTGGTTTCTTAACGCCGATTAAGATTTATCCAAATGATTGTCTCCTGATATCTGCACTTTGTTGGTCAAATAAAAGCCTTGACGTGATGGTTGCTCGTTTTCTTTTGTACACAAGCAGTTAGCAGATTCCTTGCCTATTCTCCAATAACTGGACCATTCACAACTGTTGCTAATTACACTGAAAGACTGGCCAGAACCAGATCTTTTTTTCTATTTGCAACCAATTAAAAACGATGCATTGACTTCACAGTGAAAGGAATGAAATTTAGACACAAGTTCAGCATATTCAGAAGAAACCACTGCACATGTTTTTCAGCTGTTCTGGTGCTTTTAGTGAAACATGAATCATAGTCAGACTCCATTACCCTGAGGGCATTTCAGCTACTACAGCTGAAGTAAAGTGATATTTATTCTAACAGATACAATTTCCCATCATTGTGGTTGAACAGAAAACCAAGCACTAAATTGTTAAACTTTTGGTTGGTTAGAAAATGGTGGCATTTTAGCAGCACGTCTGTTACGATACAAATTAAGTTTGCCATTTTCTTCTGGGTGACATTCAAGTAAAGAACAACTGAATATGTTGATTTTACTGTGGAGAAACAAAGCACAAAAATAACACCTGGAAACAGCATCTACCTTGCAATACACGTTCCCTCCTATAACATTTCTAAAAAACCTCTGGCCTGACAGAGCCTGTAGGCAAAATGCAAGATGGTAGACTCAATATTTCAATGTATTGTACTGTATAAAGGAAAAGATTTTTGGCCTGATAAAACAGCCTTGGGCAACAAACAGAGTCTCAAAGCAGTTTTTTTTTTCGGAACAACAGAAGACAGTTTCTATTTCCAGGCTGATGAATCTGCCCAGATTCTGATCAATATCTGTCGAAATGTTGCACAAACTCTCCTCCTGCTTTCAGAGACTTCACTGGACCTGAAATATTAACAGTAACTCCTCTGGCCAGCTTCTTGCACAGGCTCTTCTGAAGAAAAGAAAAAGTTTGCACCATAAAACGTAATCAATGCTAGAATTTTCAAAATGACGAATATATGAAATAATTTCCCAATGCTGTAGTTATCAGTTTCTCTACGAAATAGTGAAAGTCGTCTGTGGTTTTTGAGATGTTCCAGCTACTCTGACTGGCATTGAAATTGGACTACAGGGTCTCTTACACTTTTTAGACCTGAAAGCCAAAATCAAATTCTGGAGACGACTGGAACTTCAGAAAATAGCTGATTATTAGAAAAAAAACTCACTCAAAACTCTTTTAATTGCCCCATGAATTTGAATTGGTATTAGCTATATTGTTAAAAGAAGTCTTTTTTAGGGTGTGTTCAGAGTGATTTTTTTGTTTGGTGTACTGTAGCTCATGTCGGGACTTTGGGCTAGGAATGCTCTGATCGAGTTTTTTTGGCACAGATCCCAATCCGAGTCAGTTTTATTTTGGCTTGTTAACAAGTAACGGAATTAATGTGAATCAGTGACAGCTGATTTAAACAGCAACATTTGTCATTTTACCAGGTGAAAGTGACAGTTACATAAGACCCCCTGACGGTTTCACACTGGGGGTTTGGTGAATACAATTATTATACTACTTTTATAGCGGTTTGCCTTTTCTCTGTGATATATGTAACACTTATTAATCTATCCCCACCAAAATGTATATTTATAAAACTATATATTTACTCATTTTGAAATGTAGATAAACTTGCAGTACTCAGGTCTGTGTAGCTAAAGCCTGATGTCACAATGTAGTGTATGCCGTGGTGAAGAAATACAACGATCACCTGTCCCTACACTGATTCCAAATTATTTACCAGACTATTTACAGATCTATTTTACTGCCAAACCCAAAATGTAACACAATCTGTCTTTACTTTGTTTGGCTGTTGATGGATGAACAGACTCCAAAAACAGTCAATATACAACCAG